TGCCCCACTATCGGCGATGATCACATCCTCACTTCCGGTCGCATGCATGGCTGATACCATCATCGATTCCTTCTTGTAACCGTGACCGGACTTGTCCTGTCGCTTGTTGGTGACTGTTTCCCCTTTTGGCTTTGACCAGCAATCGGCCTCTTTATGGCCCGCTTTGCCGCAGTTGTGGCAGCTTCCGGTGAACTTCTTCTTCGCTCCAGTTGGTAGTCGCTTACCTTTTGCGTACAGCGACTCACCGGCTGGACTGGACCCGCTTCCTTCTCCCTGTCCCTTCATCATCTTTTCCGCTAGGAGCAGCTTTTCCCGGAACTTGGACATCTCAGGATTAGGACCGGCCATCATGTTCCACGACGACACAAATGACGCGTACTGTTTGGGCAAGCTGGCCAGCGTCTTACCGATCAACCAGGTGTCGGTAACCTTTTCCGGCTTCCCGCACGCGTCTATCTTCGCCGCTAGAACATACAATGATGCCATGAATGTATTTGCGTCGTCTACCTCCTTCCACTTGACTTCGAAAAATTCGGTCATCGCCGACATCAAGTCGTTGTCAGTCTTCGGCTCTTTCAGCTCCTGGATCCTCTTCAGAATCTCAGCGGACGTCTTGCAGTCCCGACACTGACTGAAGGTGGTATCATCCACTGTTGCGCGCAAAATACTTCTGGCTTTTCCATCGGCAGCTATCCACTTCAGGTGGTGCTCATGCGCCGCTTTATCCGTTGCCGAATCTATGGGCATCGTCAGTGTCCCATTCACAACAGACCACAAGGACTCACCAGTCAACACATCCTCCACCTGTACCCTCCATCGCGAGTAATTGGAGTCGTTTAACTCGGTGACCTTAATACTCTTCAACTGCGCCATTGTATTATCCACAACACAATGATAAAACAAACTTCACACAAACACTGCTTAGAGACAAGCAGGTCTCATAATCTGATACAATTAAGGTGGTTTTGGTAGTTTGCTTTAATGAAGAGTAATTCCAAGTGTTGTTAACATTGTAATTGTAGCTTCTTATATACTCAGTAAAACAGTCAGATTGACTAAACTTCTGAGTAACAACTTCGCCTTTAAGGCCGGTGTATGACAAAGGGGCTGGGTGCCAACATGAGTAACAGACATTAGTAACGGTTACACTCATTTATTCTAACAAGACCACATTTTCTAGAATTTTACCTGCTCCGGGCGTGGTCGGCACCGGCACGCAAAAGGGTTGCCAAACCAGAAAGAAGCACTTTGCAGGAAAACGCTATGCACATTATTGCCGCACTCGTGTAGGGCAACGTGGCCAACAGTAGAATAGTTTCCAGCCACTGCGTGCACAGGCGTCCTGCCCCTGGCGAAAAAGTGGGCGAGAAGAGCGAGAGCAGAGCAGGATTAGTGGTCTCTGAGAGGGGATAATGCAGGTCCATCCAGTACGACAGCGTGGCCGTGATTTGATTCAGTCCCTAGAGACGCATTGCGCACGATTAATATTGTCGCAAGTGCAATCAGCCAATCACCTATATTACAAATTTTAATTGCAAATGTATTAGAACAGAGTTACACACCGTTGCGGAATTGTTGCAGTTTGAGAAACATTCGGTGCAGTTTGCGTAGGACCAGTAGCTTTCGTTTGCGCACAATTGCGCTTGTTGTTCGCGGGCTACGAGCGCGCTCGCCCAACGAAGAGAAGCCGGCACATAAAAAAGCAGATTGCCGGCGTTGATCATGACGCAGTAGCAGCCAGGAAGGAAAAATAGGATGATTAAAATCAGCAGCTGAATTTGTGCTGACGGTGATGACAAAGATGTTGGTGAGTTCTTCGTCGTATCCGGTGAAGTCACGATGAATTCTTTTCCCGTTATTAAGCTATTAGTACCATTACCATGCCATTTGCTGAGATGTTGCGATAATTATTATAAACCCACGAGTATCAGTAAAACACAAGCTCAAAAATGCAAGTTTTGCTTTTAATATTAGCGCAACAATTATTATATGCGTAATGTTGAAGTTTTACCCCATGTTTTCGGAAAGACTTGTGAAATAACTGGCCTTTGCCCACAGTCCCCAGACTCGTCCAGTGCAGTAAACAGCCAGCAAGCAAAATACGACGACACAGGCGGGAAACACAGCGTCCTTCCCAAATGTGCGGGCGATCAAGTACACCGCCGATTCCCCGGCAATAACCCAAAACAGAACGCAGATGATTAGCCAGAAGGCGCTGATGCATATCCCACCCAAGACGATGGCGACGGCCTGCTTGATGACAAACACCCACATGGGCGTTGCCGGGTCCTTAATGGGATCTCGTTTCTCCGTATCCCGGTGGACGTTGTAGCCGAGGAACGATGTGATGCGGTCGCAGTTCCGAATATGCAGCGTCCAGTAGGTGGGTGGTACTCCCCAATGCCAGTTGATGAGAATGGATAAGGTCACGGAGACACCCAACACGGCCGTGGCGATGACAATGGCGACGGCACCATAGTAGCCTATATTCGTTCGGATCGGATTGGTTACGGCAATAGCGAGTTCATCGGTGACAGTGGCGGCGCTATTCGGCGTCCATGCAGATACAATGTCATCCCAAACACATCTGGGCATCTACAACAAAACAGCTGGCAATAGTAAAAAAATCCTTACACGGTTAGTTACTTTCGCCCACTGCGATTTTATTTGATTACTTTCGCCAACTCCGCTTTTCCCTTAAGAACATAAGAATTTAGGTGTCGATTTAACACTAAGACCCTACTCATTACGTTGTTGATTGATCCGGTCAACAAAGCAATTTTTGTATTTGTAAATTGTGTGACATTAACATTGTTGGAAGCTTAGAGCGGTTACATGTAGAGATAAGTCCAATTTCTTAACAGCAATTCCGTGATATAAAAAATTCTTAAATTTAGAAAAAACTCGTGAATGGGAGCACAGAGGTGTCAGATACGAAAAGATTATTGTTTCGTTTCTTAAGCATGCCAGACTACATACACGGCAACCATATATGAACCATAACAGGTCATCCAAATCCGTGCGACTATCGGGGTCAACTCGCGTTATATTCCATTGCGGAAAGATCCGTGTACCGAACTTCAACGAAATATGGCATCCGATCCAGAACACGACCAAGGCCTCCAAAAGCATATCGTGGTACGTCCACGTTAGGGCGCGCTTCAGCGCTGAACCTGACATGCTTCTTGTTTGTCCACAAATCAACAAAGTTCGGGAATGACTTGTGGAATGAAAACAAGACTTAACCGTATGAGATCTCTATACAAACTAATAATAAAAAAAATCAACGAGATCGAGCTAAAAGGGGGATATATTCTAATTGAAATGTTCAACAAATGTATCTTCCAGGATAAAATTTAAACATTAACCGCATAGCCTCGTTGCGGAACTATATATGCTGACTGCCACAGGAACAAGAAAATCTACGAGATGCGAATTAGGTCGAGTAGACCGGCAATTATGAGATCATCGGAAGATTTTAAGAGTAGCGCCAAACAAATCTACATCTGCAAGCGCAAGGCTCGCCGTCATGTTAGCTAACCTCTGCCTAGCATTCTGTACGTTTAGTCTTACGATACATATACGACGTTATACTTACAATCGATCCGAGCAGGCCAGGTATGCCTGACGGCTGATACCGCTCCATTCTGCTACGTAATGTGGCCGCTACCGTTTTCAGTCCTAAGGGAACAGAAATCCCTAATATGTGGGTTGAAAACGGTGCAGGCTTCTCCGTGAAGAGTCACGTGTTATATTATGGGAAAAACGCCAGCTCGCAGCCGGCATAGAAAGCGATTGGGTCTACTATACATTAAACTACAGTGAAACTTCTCTACAACATACACCCTCCGTTCCAGGCTTTCTGAATGTTACAGAGGGGTGTATGTTATACAGAAGCACTGCTCCCAGGGGCACTTCCCTCAGGAGTTCAGGGGGGCAACCCCCGGGGGTGGTACTCAACCAAAAAATTAACAAAATATCAGAGTATGGGCATTTTTTGGTCTGAATGTCGGTTTTGCTGCCCTATTGTATGCTTGGAGTTGAAAGATCCGGTACTAAACAGATTAAAAACAGAAGCCGGAACTTTCTTTTAGAAACACCGAAATGGTTTTTTTCTCCAGCTCAGTCAACCGTATGTTACGCAGGGGTTGAATAAGCTGGTGAAAATGTTACCGGTTCCATAAAAGGTGTATGTTATAGCTGTAAAGGGGTGAATGTTATACAGAGAACTGCCCTTGTGTTATAGTCTACCGGACGGTTTGGTTCCCAGCCTCATGTATGCAGTAAAGAGGTGAATGTTATAGGAAGGTGAATGTTAAGAGGAGTTTCACTGTATAGGTGTACCGGATCTATGAGGGAAGACAGTCATAGACTCTGCGAAGTATTTTTTGAAATTTATCCAGTTAACCCCTTTACTGTAATCTAAAACGCGGCCTCTGTTATACAGTAAGTTACTGCAGAATCAAAGAATTGTAACATCTATTCAGAACTGCGCAAGCGTTCTTATAGACCTGTTAATTCCTAGTATTGGAAATTATTGGAATTTCGGTTTTGGAACATTTGATATTGAATGCGCCGCTTGTACGTGACACCAATCGGAAGTTCATTAAATTCCCCATTGTAGACATGTATCATTGTTCATGTATCACCATGTTGCTACAGTTGTGCGGCGCATGGAGCAAATTACAAACAACCGTCATAAATGCTTTCTTAATGGTTCAGGCATAGACAGAAAATGTTCATCGTCGTTCGACGGACGCTGGTGCACAGATATTTTTGCAACGATCTCGGCAAAGCGCGTTGGATTGACAGTAAGACAAAATTAATGGATCTAACTTGACAGGCTTCTCCAACAAAATAATGACTGTTTGTGATTTGAAGCGAACAAAATGCACGTTGTTTATAGTGTATGCGCAATGCTTGTTATCGCACTTTAACCGTTAACGCTGTAATGATTGACCATAATTGGTATTTTAATTCTCTGAGTGAAAATCCAATAACACAACATTCTAGTTCTAAGAACCACTTAGCCGTATAAAGCGTATAAAGCAATTGTGTGACGGTACTTATTAGCCGCTGAATGGCGTGATCGTTAGCAATCCAGACGGTTTACTGGCTCTACAATGGCATTCCGCGCTCTCATCATTCCCCTTGTAATATACAGCGGAATTATTCCTGGAAGACTATAATTTCCTTGTAACATAAAATTCCAATGATGTTTCAGGCTTTACTCGTATATTTCGTACTACTATCGAAGTATGCCGCAGCACAGTCGTACAGCAATATCAACGGCGGAAACTCCACAAAATGTCGTTGTCTTCCGGGTGATTCATGTTGGCCGAGTGATGCAGACTGGAATGCGCTCAATACGAGTCTAGCCGGTCGTCTGGTCATTCCACATCCAACCGGTACAGCAACTCTCCGTCAAGTTTATTAAACCAATGACATAGAACTGATTAATTTTGCTAGCTTATCCGTGTTACGCTGGTGCCGGCTTTAATTCCCGTGATTGCCAGCAAATCCAGAAATACTACAACCGTCCCGGCTTCCTGATCACCAAACCCGGCAGCATGCAGAACTTCAACTGGGAAGATCTGGGCGCGCAGCGCTGCACGCTGGAAAGCGGTAACGAATGGGGCGTGGTGTGTCAAAGTGGTCGGACGCCAGCGTACGCTGTGGATGCGCACAGTCCGGAGGATATCCAGAGAGCAATGAGTTTTGCCAGTAAGCACAATCTGCGGGTGGTGGTGAAAACGACTGGACACGATTATCTCGGGCGCAGCACGGCACCCGGAGCGCTGCTAATCTGGCTTCACAATTTCGAAGGACAACTGGAGACGAAGACGTCATTTACACTTAGTGGCTGCGATGCCAGCAGCCAGAGTGTCGGCCCTGTTATTACGGTTGCGGGTGGAAAAACATGGGATGATGTGTATCCAAAGGTAATAACTGCCTGTTTATAGCCCTTAATTAAAGGCCGCACATAAGAAACATTAAAAAATTAATGAAGTGTTTACTCGGAAATCGGAATGCGAAATCTTTATACGCGCTTAAAGAGAATTTCATATCAAGGACACGATTTAGCAATAAAAAAATCATGTGGTAAGCTGGCCAGTAGGCTAGTGAAGCAGCAAATTTATCCGCTTCGAATCATTAAACAGTATTTAACAGAAAAACATCCAGTCACACAAATCGCCAGCAGTGTGAACAGAGAAGAGAATATTCGCGCAATTCGCCTTAAAACGGTGCATCATTTTCCAATTTGTTATCTTACATTGTATAGACATATTTGTTCAGGTTGAGCAAGACTTTAACGGAAAGTACGCCATCGTCGCCGGCAACTGTTTCGACATCGGCGCAGCCGGTGGATACATTCTCGGCGGCGGTCACAGCATCATCTCGCCGTCGTTCGGTCTGGCCGTGGACAGTGTCCTGGAGATGAAAATCGTCACCGTCGACGGGCAACTTCTAACGGCCAACGCGTGCCAGAACACGGACCTTTTCTGGGCGCTGCGCGGGGGAGGAGGCGGAACCTATGGTGTCCTCACGTCCGTCACGTACCAGCTGCATTCCGTTCCCAACGGCTTCACCAGTTATTCCATCCAGATTCTGGCGGCCAATAAGACTGGTGATTTGAATCCCAAGCAGTTGGAGGATGTGTTGGAGGTCCTGTCCCGGCGTACCGCTGATCTGGATGCGGTCGGATGGGGCGGTTATTATTATTTTAACGCAGCATTTGGGTTTAGTTTGATGTGGATTGTGCCGGCCGATTGGCCGAATGCACTGGTGCCGGTTGAAGCGATAAAGGACGAATTGGTGGCGATGCAGGCGTCTTCGGGTTTTCTGGTCGGACCGTTTGCGAATGTCGGCGGGTTTGTCCAGCATTTTAACGGAGTGTCGGTACGCATGAATCCCGAAGAGTATTTGATTCGTTTCTGCACAGAAAACCGTTCAGTTTTTGACTCTATTCTGTAAAACCGTTAATTAACTTACTGATGTTTAGTTTATTTCGAAGTCTATCAGTTCTGCCAAATCAGTTCGAACTGACTGAATTTTTTAGTATCAAAAAACCATATTGAGCGGCAAAACGTTGATACCTGACGGCTGTTTCTTACGTTTCGTTTAACAGGACTGGCGTTCGTGGGCGAACACCGTTGGTGTGTACGATGAGAGCCTATCCCCTGGAATCCGTACGACTCTCGGCACTCGTCTCATCCCCGCAGCTGCGCTCAACCAATCGCGTAGCGTCGCCCAGAACATCATTGCGGCCGCGGCGAAGACCAACTTCCTGTTTGGCTTTGGCATTCTCCACGTATCCGGCAACGGCGTCCGCAGTAAGGATCCTCAATCGATAGAGACGTCGGTGACCCTGGCGTGGCGCAAAGCAGCCTGGCATGCCATTCTGGCGGTGGGGTGGCTGCCGACCACAACCGAGGAGGACGTGGCTCTTTTAAAGGGCATGCTGGAAAGCGGAGCGCAAGTGTGGCGCGATGCGTACCCGGATTCCGGAGCGTATTTTAATGAAGCCTCCACAACGGAGCCGCATTGGCAACAAGCCTTCTGGGGGAAGAATTACGACCGTTTGCTGCAGATTAAAAAGACGGTGGACCCAAGTGGAATGCTGGTGTGCAGCCAATGCGTTGGCAGTGAAGCGTGGGATCCGACAGGAAATTGTCGGCTACAGTAAATGAATGTGATGAAACTCTCTTGTATCTTACGCAATGCTTACATTTGTACCACTTCGCGTAAACCGTAGTTTATTATTATGCTGATAGGGTCAGAATGTATGCAGTTGGGCATCGTTCTTATAAAAGCAGAAGAACACGAACTATGAGCGCGACAAATAATCGCCGCACTTTCAGTCTTCAGATTCGCCTGTTTTCTTAACGTTAGGGTGGGCAGTGCGTTCACCCACGACGTCCAGTCAGTTGCCTAGCGGGCGCGGTCTTCGTTGAAAAAGGCGAACCGGCACCATGTACATATGCTGCTCCGGCTTTTGTTCCGTTGCGTAATTTAACCTGAACAATGCCACAATCATCGAGGCAGAATTTCTGAGTTGGAACAAGGAATAATAGCGAAAATACAAAGTACTAGCCCTTTTTTAGTAGCAGTGAATGAAATCTAGCATTTGATTGTCATTGGATTTGAATACCGGTATGTCCGGGAACTGGTAACGCAATTTGCACCTAGCCGATTTATTCCGCATAATTCGCACGGAGTCTGCCAGTCAGAAAATAACTCAGAACTCGTGAGTATATTTTTTGCATTTGGGAACCCATTGCTCATTTAATCCGTGCAGTCTGCGCGGGGTCTGCTAGTAATTATTTATAAAGACGTTAAAATTGTAAAATGTTGCGCACGTTAAAATGCTCTCTAGAAATCACCATGTTTTGTCGTTTTAGATGCTCAGTGGATTCTGGACTTGGCATAGCAATGGCATTATGATAGCGTTCAGAAAGCTGTTTTGTTCTGCACCTTATCAGCGTTTTCACTGGAAAGTGCAGCCGTCAAAGCAAGTTATTTATTCTTTACATGCACCGCCGCAATGCGGGCTCGTGTTACAGTTATGACCTTAATAATCGGCACAGCGGTGAAATATTATCTCCGGTTGTTTTGAAATGGTACATGGGGCGTTTCGTAGTAAAAAACGTATCAATGTCCTTTCCAGTAATCTCATCCTGGGTATAGTTCCGGCAATCTGGTGTTGTTTTTACACGGGAAACTTTCCTTGACCTTATTCGGCAACTTGCTCCTGTTTTTCCAGTATAATTCCTCCTGGCAATGTTTGCCCGGTTGTCGACAGGGCGCACTACTTATGCCGTTTAACCATCATTTTACTGCACGCACATTTACAACCGTTGCTACGAATGCTTTGGATTTCTGCTTAGAGCCTGTGTAGTGTATGTTGCCCCTTTTTACAAAAGTGTATTTAAAACGGCGAAAGCACACGTACCGTAATTATCGAATTTGTGGCCCTGGGGTGCAAATAGTTCGAATGCCATGGCGGAGGGGGGCTTATTTCGGGGAGGGGGCGCAATTTCGGGGGGTGGCATTATTTTTCAAACGATACATTTTGGAGAGGGGCATTATTTTTCAAACAACTGCGCACCGTGTTCTAGCGAAATTGAACGCAGTAGTTACCGGTATTATCGGCGGTATATGCAACTGCACTACCTTGGGAGCAACATTTTGGAGTGCATACCTCCTTATACAGCTGTTTGCCAACGAACACCGCATTATAATGATGTCCGTTAACTGTTTCTCATTAAATTACAACAACTTTTGCGGCTAAATTTTGCGGTATACCTATCATTTTGCGGCGCTCGACATTTATTAACGGCCCCTGGGGCGTAATTTCGGGGGGTGGTCTTATTTTTCAAACAGGGTCGGGGAGGGGGGCTTATTACGGGGGGGGCTCTTATTGCGGGGGGGGCCCCAAATCCGATAATTACGGTATACTCTTACAGTATACGGATATGTATTAAAGGTGAGCCAAGTATATTTACAAAAGATGTATTTACAAATGCATTATTTTGACATTTGATGTATGAATTTTTAGATTTAGAAGATTTCAATGTATGCATTTTTTCTGCTGAGTATATTGTCCAACAGTGTTATATTATTTCATACGCGGTACGCAGCAAGTGCAACAAGCAGTAATCAGAAGAAGACAAAATTCATCGCTATTTTAAGGCAGTAACCAACGCGAATCGGCATGGCAATGAATATGGCAAAACTGTCGAAGCAGGATTATGCCAAAAAAGCATAATAACCTGCACATGTGCAAGAGTAGCGTTTCGCGATTTCCACGAGTAACGAAAAAGGCGGAAGCGAAACGAGCATAATAAAAAAGTACACAATACAGTTTGATAGGTACCTGAAAATGAAGTCAAATTTTATACGAGTAGCCATTTAATTTTTGCGGCAACACCACGAGCGATATGATTGTACGACATATGCTCTGAAACTAGCCAAAGACATGGCGAAGATGATAGGATCCATTACAGCCTGCATCGAGTACAGCACCATTGTCAATGTTTCCACCGTCGGAAATTCCGTCACCGTAGTAAAGCAGGAAATAGTCCAGAATAATGTATCCGGAGTCCAGCATACGAACACGCTGATGGTCAGGAGCGTCAGCACCAGAAATGGACGCACATTTCCCTTCCGGCCACCGTGGGGGTGAATACTGTTGGTTCTGGATCGATGCGCATGCTAAAAGAATCGCCGTTCCTGCTTTCACTCTTTAGTAATTTTATTACTTTGACAACGCACTGTACTCATCTGCTCTATGTGCTAATAAATGGTGCAAAAAATATATTTCGAAGATAGCACAGACCAAAGCCTGTCTTACAACAAGTAACCTGAACGAGTAGTTACTCGTTACGGTTGTAATTACAAGCGTACCGAAACTGATCCTCGCGTTTCAGAGGTAGGCAAGGTTTTAGAAGGTCCCGTTGTTGCTCCATGTACGCTTCTTCCCCGTTGTTTGTGCTTGTACAGAAGAAAAGGATAAGCAAACACAACAAAAGCGATAGGCAGATCGTAGCCGATTAGCGCGACGAGCGTACTATATAAATTCTGCTCTTTTATATTCATCACACACCCGTGCTCTGATGCCGACTGATGAAAGTATAGCTGATCGCGAATGTATAACGGAAAACAGACAAGATGGACATAAGTCACCATCCCCAAACACATTAAAACCGCAACCTTTGTGGTGTGGTTCTGTCGATAGGAAACAGGGAAAACCACCGCCCAGAGGCGGTTGATGGTGATGAGAACGTGCATGTGCATGGTGGCGCTGCAGACGACCCAGATTTCGTACAGATACAGCCGACACGCGTGCTCGGACAGCCACCAGCGAGGATAAGTTTGGCGTATGACTTCCAGAGGATATTGGCCAGCGCAGTAGAAGATGTTGAAGGACAACAGGGCCATGATGTAGACGGTGAAAGTGGAGCGCAGCGCTGGACGGAATATAAACACACACAGCATGCCGATGTTCAGACACAGCTGCAGAATACAAAAGGTCAAACGTCCGATGGCGCCGTATGTCCATGTTTGATGTAAAGGTTCCGTTATGTTGGAAACGTTCCACATGGTGAGCGGAAACTCAAGAAATCTAACAGACACAATATACTGGATCAGGAAATCGCGCAGATTACTTTGCTTGTGAAAAACAGTTGGCGAAAACGTCTCTAGGCAATCCCAATCCGGTTAATGCAGTTTATAATTACGAATACCGTCATATCGAGCCTTTTAACAGCTTTAGTTGAAAGTAAACAACACGTCAGCGGGCGCCTTCAATTCATCCTATCGATCGGTGAGGCTGTGAGAGCAACACTACATAGGGGCCATCGGCATATAACTTCCGAAATAACAGGAGGCTGAAGAATGTCAAGGGAAAATTCCCATGAAATTGGCATGGTGTATTGTAACATTCATTTAAAATATGACAGTTTCTTCTGGGACAGGAAATTAGGAAATGTTTTGTACGGATGTCGGTTCCAACAAAATGGTCACGTATGACGGTAATGAAGTCTAAATGAACAGATCGCGTTTTCTTCTAGCCCTAATTTACGGCCGTACTCCTATGACAATGTTAATAAACATCAGAAACCTTACGTTAATCTGCAGAAGGTCAATGAGTAATAAAATTAGTGTAATAATGAACAGTGCAACATAAAACAATGATTGTATTGTAGCGATAGTATTTGTACGAACGATAAGACCACCCGGCTATGATTTATCATTTCATCGCGTTATGATTTTCTGTCCATTTTACCGGCTACTTCTAATACTCACGAATTCCTAGAATTCCGTCTGGTAGTCTGCTTGCTACAGCTTGCATCAGCTTGCTTAACCTTGCCCTAAACCTTGCTCCGTTTCTTGCATTACTGTTGTCATTAAACATGCCTTGAGCCACGTTGTTGCGTTTGACCGCTTGGGATGAACCTGTGTCATCCCAATCACAACCGCCTGTGTAACTTTGCTACATTAGCAAGAGCGTCCTCGGCCAGCATCGTTGCCGGCCGTGCCACCTTTCATCCTAACAGCCGCATAATCATTGTAAAGGCTGATCGTCACCCCACTAGAACAGCAGCCAGATAGGCTGTTGTTACAATTTATCTTACCACTACCTGTGGCTTGACAGCATTGATATTCTGCAATGCAAAATCTTGCATTGCTGCGTTTGTCATGGTCCCAGGTCAAACCAAAGTAGAAAAAGAAAGCTTAAGCCTCATCGTCGTCCGTTAACCGGGATTTCCATCAATTTGTGAATCGAAGCGGAACTTTAACCACCATGCAGACTTTCTCTTGAACGGATGGCCCTTACGGTGTCACGCTGCCCCTTGGGAAAAGAGTACTGACCCGGGATGCCACTTGTGTACAACCTGCCTCAAAGCTGCACGTCATTCTCCGCTAATGACTGTGCAAAAATGCCTTATTCAGTATTCGGTTTCGTCCTCTTTCTGGGCATCTGTCGTTTATTGGCTCGTGACGGTGCGTTTTCTTGTGGAGCGTGAATAATACTGAAATTATTGTTATTTGGTTCTGCTACACATTAATTCTGACTTTTTTGTTAATAATGCATTTAACCGAAATTGTACGAGTTCGCTCCAAAGTGAGTGTCGGCCGAAAATAGTCGAAGCGGAAGTGAAACTGCCCCTATGCATATTTATACCTCCGTTGTTCACCAAGAACGCTGAATTCTGATGAATGTAGGTACCAACTAGCTGCATTAAAATTTTCTGCTACAGCCTCCTCGGGAACAGCGACGTTTTCACAGCTGAAGACATATTATCCCTGTGCTCATTCCATATGCGCCCAGTTTATCCATAATGTCAAATAATTACGTACCAGTGTCTCGTTTTCTGTATTCCATGGATTTGGTCATGTTTACTTGTCTCTGTTTTGCCGGTTGTGGTGGAAGTGGCATGAATTTAATCGAAGCCAACACATCTTTTGTGCCCAGATCTCAGACATGGATATGAATCTTTTATATTTTTGTTAATACGAGTATATTGAGTGTTCAATATACGCGGCAAGACGAAATTAAATACAGGGACAAAACACTGCTGCAACCGAAACGATACAGATAAAAATGTAAAATCAGCTGAATATTTAAAGTGACAAAACATGCTGGTTTTTAATGCAACTTAATGGTGTGCGGAATTGTTGGGGGTTCTCTTACAATTTGTTCGCTACATATAACAAAAAGCCAACTCGACTTCGTGTCGGGTCGTTGTTCGTGTCGGTTCGTAATTGACGGCTGACGAAATATCAGGGATGAAATGGCGGGTCACCGTTCCGATAAATTGCCATGTCAGCATTTCAGTGTTTCCTGTAGAACCATGAACGGCATGTCTGCAGTATGAACGCTCTGAAAATAGTCAAAGACATGGCGAAAATGATAGGATCCATTACAGCCTGCATGGCGAACAACACCGTTGTCAAAGTTTCCACGGTCGGAAATTCTGTCACCGTCGTGAAGCAGGCGATGGTCCAGTAGACTTCATCCGGGGTCCAGCAGATCAGCACGCTGAAGGTCAACAGCGTTAGCACCACGAATGGACGTAGATTTCTCGGAGTGGACGTAGTCGACTGCTACAAAAAAAGCAGTTTCTGTGTGCTTTGCTTCCTTAGCATTTTTAAAATGGTCAACTTTACTAATACTACAGTAATAATAATTATTATGTACAAGTACCAAAACTATCTTGCTGTTGATTGCTGGTAGTAATCAATATTCAAAGTACCACGAGTATGTGAGTGCGCGAAGAGAAAGGTTTGCAAGGGACGTGCAAAAAATCTTGCTTTGACACACTCTTCCTTAGTAACAACAATAATTACCGAAGATTGGCCCCGCATGTCGAAGGTGGACACGGCTCTGGCGACTGCCATTGTAGATCGATTCAGCGCCAACGTCGATCCGTTCATAATTTTTCGCCGTTTTTTGTGCTTGTACAGAAGAAAAGGATAAGCAAACACAATAAAAGCGATTTGCAGATCGTAGCCGATTAGCGCGACGAGCGTACTGTATAAATTCTGCTCTTTTATATTCATCCGACACCCGTGCTCTGATGCCGACTGATGATATTCTCCTGTAGTACAGGATGTTGAAAGATAGCAGGGCTATGATGTAGACTGTGAAGGTTGAACGCAGCGCTGGACGGAAGATGAAAACGCACAGCATTCCGACATTAAGACACAGCTGTAGAATGCATAAGGTCAAACGACCGATAGCGCCGTATGTCCATGTTTGAGTGTCAACGGCGGTTATGTTTGCCATGTCCTGTGCAGCAAGGGAAACTGGGTACGGCAGTTGAGACGGTATGCGCTCTGTCTGGAAACTGAGTAAGACTACTGATTCTGGAAAGAGCGTTTGCGTGTTTGTTCCTTTTCGGTATATATGCGAATTTCAGATGTACATAGTTAATAACACGTCGGCGTCGTTTATCATAGAAACAGCGGGCGACAGCTTTTAGACGCCTCATTAATTTTGATAGAGGCTAGCGCAAAGCGCGGTTGATAAATCATTCAAAGCAGTGTCACACGCAAAGTGGGGATTTTATCTTTGATGAGCTTATTTATCTACAAACAGTACGAAACAATCCCAGAAACCCCGATCTAAGTTTAAAAATGCCCTCGTTTTGTGCTGACCCACAGATAGAGGACTGTTCAGAAAGTTAAGGATCGTTCACTGCTGGGCTTTTCGTATGTCACAAGAACTGGCTTTATTCATTTTTCCGTTCAGCAATGGCCCATTCAATGGGCCAGTAATCGTTGATCCTTATCCTTAACAGAGAAAGTTTTATTTCAATAATAACAAAATCACAGCCGAGCTGAGCAGAAAAACAACATCGGGCACTAATCGTTCCCGATCAGCCAATCTAAAAGCTAAAAAAACGTCCTCGTTGTCTCGCACTTCAATAAATGTTCCGAGGACAGACACCGCACTTCCCCGTTGTATCTCAATGCTGAATTTCTGACGCAAAAACTCTCCCGACCGAGGGTTACCACTACATTCGCAAATCTTTCTTGGCAGATCTTTGAAAAACTTCTTGGTTAGCGGAAATTATCCTTAACTATCCTTAACTTAACTTATCCTTAACTATTTTCCTTGTATTCTGTGATGCCGTAGTAACCGTAACCTTTGTTATTTATGACCTCTGTCCACTGTGATATTTAGCGATCTAGATTTGCATTGTTAGTCAGTCAGTTAGTTGATAAACCGGTGAGCGGCAAGTCGTGATATATTCATTGCAAATTAAAGACTTGAGGTGCTTACCGATGCTCTGCTTTAATGTCGACACGTTCAAATATCGCAGACGTGAAGTCCTCGTTATAGTTTTATGCGGACTTCTGAGTTTCAGATTATTTAGCGATAGGCTTTAATTACGTACTTTCAGTTAATTTGTTAAATTTCAGTTTTGGGCATAACACCTTAGCCTGATTGTTAAGCATGTTCGCAGTATTACACTTTTTATTCTGTTTTCACTCGAAGACGACAACAACTCAACGGATGACAAATAACGTTGCCAGCTCAATAAGGGATACGTTATTGCCAAGCGGACATTGCACAGGAAACATTTAATAATTATAATCATAATCTCGGGACATAAAACATATATCCACTCGTCGTACAGCCTGTACTGGTGTACGTACGTAACAAGCACGCTCACTGAAAAGTGGATCAAAAACAGGATTTCATGCGTTGGTTAGTTCCGCTCGGATTTGCTCTGCGCCCGATGGAGATCCGATTCAGAACACCACATTAAAATGAACCATTCGTAGCTAAAACATCTGCTCCCCTTTAAAACCAGGCGAAACTGACGAGCGTGCCATATGTTTAACTGGGGCAGGCGCACTGCCTGTTCCGTTTATATCGGATCATATTTTTGCTCTTCGACGCAACGGAAACCAGTTTTGCAATAAGGTATTAACGCAGGATCGAGCTGGTTATTTTTGATTTAATAGGGATTGCCGGCAGATGCAACTAATATCCTTGACGCATTGACGATGATGTTAGAAGACCATACTCATATACTGAGACCATTCTCGATGCGTTAAATTACTTAATTGAACACTTGAAAATCGTGTAAAAACTAAAAAAGTAAGATTGACGGCTTCCTTGTATTTTCATCAAAAGTTTCAATCGCTGGTGTGCTTTTTCCTGTATATGTAGTGTACATATACATACTGTACAAGTGTACATACGGCTTGCGTGCATGCCGATACTATTCAGAAACCGAATGGTCAGAACTTGGATTATCGTTGTTATTCATCGATGCGTGATCGTTTGAATTAACTGACCGAGCAGTTAGAAAAATGAATCACACGCCGCACGAAAACGCGACATTGCACCACGGAGTTTGGAGAACGGCTAACTGGGAATTCCCCTTGATTCCCGATTGCTTTTATTCATTTTGCAAACCGTGCTCAACCTGTGCATGCTGGTTTTCCTTCTCCGGCAGAGAACACTGCGCACCGGCTTCTGTGTGTATCTAATTGCTCTCCTGTCGGCTAACATCTTCTACGGTGTGGGACAGTATCCTCTGGACATCCTGCAGGCGCTGTACGGCGGTTGGTGGATGTCTAGAGCAGCCTGTAGTTTCTACGTTTACCAGATTTGGGTGTTTATCGGTGTGCCGATGCATTTACACGTTTTAATTACCATCAATCGCTTGTGGGCGTGGACGTTCCCGGTGTCATACCGGAATATTCACAACACCAAAGTGGCATGTTGGATGTGTGCCGGGAGCGTAGCGTATGTTCATATTCTTTGCTTCCCGCTGTTTCTTATTGATGAAGTTTGCTATCGAAAGGTTCCGGAAACGTTTGGCTGCTATTTGGATACGGAAGATCAGGCTGTATACTCCAATATCGTGAACATGTTGGCGTTCAATCTGCCGGTTATTATTGTTGTGTTAGCATATCCATTGATAGTATACAAATATTTAGGGCGACGACGAAATCGTAGCAGATGTTTAGCACCATTTTCCACGGGAAACAGTGGCCAGAATACAGTAAACAAGGTAAATATGTATCACGACCTTACGTAGAAGACAGCCTTACGTAGAACCCAACTAATATATCGAGAATGATCGTATCGTAATAAGCAGTTGTGTCGCAGCGCGTCTCTGCAAATTTGCTTGAGGTAACATAGTATTACTTTTCATTCATTTGGGCTACTTAGCTTTTTAATAGACCGAACCGAGATGTTTTAATATTTCCCTTCTCGCAGTTTGAACCTTTTATCAGCGTCTCACGTAGCTTTTGGCCTGCAGTGCAGCGAAGCGATTAAAATGACCTTGTTAATTTATCCATTACCTTGGTGTTATCGTTATGCGATAAAAGTTGATCTCTGGCAATCCATAAGATTTGTCCTCATCTGCGTCAATACTTGTTAATTAAATAGAGTCAACCGGCAACAACTGTTGCGAATGGCCGGGATGACGACAGCGTTCGATCGTTCCTCATGCTGACGCTGCTTACCTTCAGCGTACTTATCTGTTGGGTACCATACCGAATCTATTGGACCCTGGACGGTTTCCTGGATGTATCAGAATTATCACTGATGAAACGGATCATCAAAATTGTGTATACGTGGCAAGCACTTTTTGACGCCATTCTGCTGACAATGTCGCTACGCAGCTTTCGTATCGCTGCAGCAGCCCTTTGGAGAAGACGCTGTCACAGTTCATAAAGGTCTTGCGAAAATGTTTTGGAAGGGCCGTGTCCCTGGCAGTTTTAAGCTCCGCTTCTGGTCTTTAGCATTCGGAATGATACCATAATTAGTTTTAAAGAATTTTCTAAATGAAAGGTTAGGCCTGCTGGCGCCGCCCACTTTTCTACTTACAGGTACGTACGTGTAAGTAGAAAAGTGGGCGTACGTACCTGTAACAGAAAAATTCCTCAAAACAGCGAGTATACTCGCTGTTTTGAGGAATTTTTCTGTTCTGAGCATTTTCAGTTACAGTATCTAATATGGATCTTCGGCACAGCTGCGCTAGGTCAATCTGTTGATTTAATTGGTTGGTTTTGGTTTTTCGACAGCATCTCGAATAAATGTTGATACCTGAAGGACGTATCTGCTAGCTACTACAAGTTTATTTTTGGATGGCGCTGCTCTTACGGTACTTGTACTTATGATTACCGGAAGCGAAACCTGCCTTATTTTAGTACAAAGCAGTCTGAAATGATCATAAAAACGAATGCGAAAGCTGAACCATTTTGCCGTCACAGGCTTTTGTTCCCGAATAACGTCTAAAACTGTGGCGTATTTATCGTTTAATTCGAGATGCCATTAACAGAGCAACTAATTCAATTTGCCAAGAAACAAACTTACAGCAATGAATGCAAGTAGACATACAGTACAACTACAAGGTCATCGGTATACAGTTACAAGCAATGTGGTGCCATGCCCACTAAACGATATTTCCTGCTACAAATACCTTAAACCTAAAGCTGTTCATTAGGCAAGCTAGCTGGAAGTTGGGTTGCATTCAATATTCCTGCGCAGGTGGTTCTTACGCACGTCATATAGCTCCGATTCCGCAAGATAATAATTGTCATGTAAGGCTAAAGTACACTAGCTTGCAGTCCTGTTGAAAGTGGCGGAGGGTTAACGAGCTTTCTACATGATCAACTAGGAGTCTAGGACTGTCGAACAGTAACGTGAAGTATCGCTTCTTTCGCATGGTCTGTGCAAAACCAGTCTCAGGCTTTCGAAGTATAAATCGAGACAGTTCTGCTAATTATTTGCAAATTAATGCGGATTACGGTAGTTCATTTTATTGAATCATAAACAAACCGTAAGCTTTATAGTCTGAATACGAGTACGTCGGATAATGGTGCAAGCGAAGCAGTTTAAAGGGCTACTGTAGCAACACCAGTAACTTATTCAAAATTTTAAAATAATTAATTAAATTTTCTTGAATAAATTTACATTTTTCTTAATTAAATTTTACACCATCCATACGATGCCATAGAGCCATTACGGAAAGTGAATTTACGGTTAACCAACGTCGTTAGTTCAGGATCATACTAAACTGAAGAAGACTGTTCGAGAAACGACGGAAAAGATTTCCAGCTTGCTTTCAGCCTTTGCTGAGTAAGGCAGCTCATTAGCGAGGCCTCACAGGTAATTATACATAATTGTCAATTGTGCGTATTTATAATGGCATATTAGAGCTGCCTACTCCAAATCTCCCATCTATACAATATCTCAGCCTTTCGCGTCTTTTGCAACCTCGTAGTAGCTCTTTCCCGTAATCTCAATTTGCTGCAGCACGCTTGGTAGCACATGGACTCCACTCGTACAGATACAGTCGCGTGGGAGCACGAAGATGAAAGCTATTTTCAGTAAGGATCATGGAAGGTCGCGTTAATTTCGGTAACTGCGAACACAACCAGCATAAAACAATGCGGCGTAGGCGTCGCCTTATATTCTTGATTCAGTGCCATCCTTCCGCTGTTGCCGCTTCGGAGGCAGCGTAAATTGCACAAACACAAAGTTTCTTTCTAAGATACACGTCCTCGCATCCGTAATCTAGGATTTTCAAAAAGAATTTTCTCAAATGATGAAGGAATGTAGAGAATGGCAACTGTAATCCTTGCTTTACTTATTTCGCAATTACAGTCAAGGAACAGTAGCACATTTTCTGTAACAATTAAAACTCAGTTAATCTTTTTCGTTCCTTCTATATTCCCGAGAACGGATGCACAATTTCTTCGATTGCGTGCGCCGTGAATGGGTACTGGTTTGTGGAGAATTTCTCGGAATTTGCTACGCGATCTAGGCAAAAATAGGTGTACGTAGTACACATAGTAGCTTTTGCTTGATCAGTTCCATGCCGATAGCGTGCGTTTATTCGTTTCCATGCAGTTCGAAAAACAAGCACTGACTGCACATGTTCAAATATTTCATGTTCAGAATTATGAAACGATTTAGGCATTCTCTATGGCAAAAAGTTTGAGAGATTGAAGCAAAAGCTTGCACCGCATTTCCCGAATGAAGTTATATTGTGCTAATCTGTATGTGCATTGTACAATTAAAAACATGAGCGCTAACTTCACTAACATCACGACTAAAGTTTCCTTTTCCGTTGCCGCTGCAACGTGGACTGCTGTGTGGAATTACTCTACCATCTCGCGATTGACATTCTTCGTCCTGCAGATCGTCCTCAACCTTTCCATGCTGCTCTTTCTTATCCATCACGAAGCACTGCGCATCGGCTTCAACGTGTATCTCATTGGCCTTCTGTCTGCCAATATATTCTACGCCTTCGGTCAGTATCCAGTGGAGATTCTACAGTCACTGTACGACCACTGGTGGATGTCGAAGGCAGCTTGCAGTTATTACATATACCAATCCTGGGTGTTTGTCAGTGTGTCAATCCACATGCACGTGCTCATCACCATCAATCGGCTGTGGGCGTTGACCTTTCCGTTGTCCTACCGGAATCAGCACAACACTAGAGTGGCGTGTTTGTTTTCAGTCTCCATCGTTGTCTATGTGCACATTGTGTGTTTTCCGCTGTTTCCCATTGATGAGTTATATTATCGGCCGCCCACAGAGCTTGGTTGCTTTTTAGATACGGCCCAACAGAAATTGTACTCAACTATCGTTAACATGGTGGCGTTTAATTTGCCGGTTGCAGCAGTGGTGTTTTCCTATCCCTACATTCTATACAAATATCTTCGCCGGCGACGAACGAAAAATGCGGTTAGGCCATCATCCATGTGGATCAATAACCAAACTGACCGGAACCAGGTTCGTATGAAACCGACCAACGTGAACACAGTTCAGCTGTTATTGGAGCCTTTTGAACCGGCAATTTCTTGCAAAATGTCGCACTTACTTCTTTTCACAGAGAAAAACAATCGCAGCGAGTCAAAAGAACGACAACAGCGTTAGCCCGTTCTTTACCCTAACTCTACTCACGTGCAGTGTAATGATATGTTGGGCGCCCAGTCAAGTATACTGGACGCTGGACAGCTTCATGGATGTCTCGGGACTATCCCAGTTCGATAAAATCGCGATGGCTCTCTATGCGCTCCAAGCAGTTTTGGATCCGATTCTTTTTGCCCTCTCTTTAAACAACTTTCGCTCTGCTGTTCTACAGTTGTGGAAAAAAATCTGCCGTTCCCCATAAACGTGCACGCGGGTTTCGACAGGGATAGGGTGATTGTTACGTGCATAACGCC